AAAATAAATTCATTTCATACAAAATTAAATTTCAGAAATAATAATAGTGTTACTTCTATTTTGCTCTACTAGAACTCCTTGAAGTCGGTCTTTCAGTTAAGTTTTCCACCAAAGTTCACATTTAAAAGGAGTCAAAAACACATGAAAAAGACCCATGAAACACAAAGAACAAATCAAAACTCTGACCTCTGAGGAGTCACGTTGGTCCTGCCTGTTTTCTGGGTGGCTTTCAATTACTGAATTGTTTTCCTCATCTCATAAACTACAATTAATCCCGCCACTGTTCCCGTTTTCTTAATCAAAACATCTCATAAATGTATCTTCAGCTACGAGGAAGCAGCTCTCTGCAGAGCCACATAAAGAGATGCAGGAAAGGTAAAGTGGAGCCTCGTCCACAGATTGGCCTTTTCGTTCAGGTGTGAAATACTTCAACACACACACACACACACACGTACAGAGGAGGATCCGCTCAGACAGCATGCACATTAAACAGGTTGATATGTTCAAATTCGGTTTTTATTTAGCCGACGCTGTAGCTAAACATCATACAGTAATACATCTGTTTCTTGTCTAATACCGGGAGATACAGCGGGGACATATTCAGTTACACAATGAATCCAGAACGACTACAGATCAAAACAGGGAAGAGAAAGCCACCATTGGTTACTGAGTTGATTGATTATGCAGTGTTCGAACAGCCGAGTCAGATTAAAGCCAATCACATGTGATCAATACCATCATCTGAGCCTGTCTGATGACACTGTGGTGACAGTTAACCTGAACTTGTCTTCGTGGGAGACCATTGCTGCATTGTTGCATCAATAAATAATCAAGCAATAAATAGATCCATAAATAGTTACTCATGATTGTAACACTCTAATATACAGTATATTTCAAGGTTTACCTGTGATTACTTCCACTATTTACATTAGCACAATATACCGCACACACACTCACACACACACTCCGCCTTGTACAAACACATGCACGCTGAATAAACCCTACACAGACGTCTTCCTCACAGCGGTTCTGTTAATGTTTTACAGAATCATACGACACTCAAATACACAGTAATTCTTCATATTCCCAGAGACACTTACACACCGGTGCTTTCCGTTTCTGAGGCTTGTGCACGAAGGAGAGGACGGCCGACTTTACACAGATGTGTGTGTATTTCTGTTAATATATGTTGCTGCATACATTAAACCGTGGCTATTATGTTACTTGGACGTGTGTAGATCTCCAGGGAGAGGGGAGTGTAAGCTGAGGGGGGGCTGAAGGGTTTAATTAAAAGATCATCAAGTGGTTTTGCATGTTTTAGCCTGACCAGTCGTATACGTGTAACCACTGCCCATCTGCAGGTATCATATAAAGTTATGGACAGGGACTCTCACCACTTCATTAGTCCTGTGAAAAGTTTTGAAACTTTTGGTGCATTCAAGGATATTCTGACATCTGAGCTTCAAGAGTCAGCTGCTGAAAACAAATGGCCAAATTCACATCATCTCTTCCACAATATCAATGTTTGCTTATCGTTTGTCTTTAAGCACGTTGAACTGCCTTGTTGTAGAGACGTGCTGTATAATGACATGTCTTCCAATATAACAGTCCATGCCTATGAATCTGAAATACTATTTGATTCGCTATTGTACATTTGACAAAAATGATGATAGAAAATTAATAAGAATGAAAGTAAGTGAAATCAATGGCTGCCTGGAAGGAACAATATCTACATTTTGGAGCACATAGATGCATTTAGAAGGCTAAAACATGTAAAACTACCCAGTGTGGTTATTTAATATCATATCTGGTGCGTGTGAGACTGTCAGAACAGGAATGGATTGTTTTTGCTCGCCGTCTCAGCCAACCCGCTGCCGGAGAGCGACTGTGACTGCGGAGTGGATCCTCCCAGGTGAGCCACTCCTGCTTGGTGAATCCCTCCAAAGACACCGGGCTGACCCATTCCTGTTCCCCATAAAAGGGAGTCAGCCAAAGGATTCCCCACCAGCGATCCAGACTGTACCATTCCCACTCCTCCACAGGGGGGGTTCATGTTAAATCCCACTTGTGGACTCCCTCCCATAGAAACAGATTGTACCATTCCAGTTCCTGAACACGGAGGAGCCACCTGAGCTGCCTGAAGCGTATTTAAGCCAAAATGAAACGCTCCCGTGGAAAGGGGTGGTAGCTGAAATGGGGGGGCGTCACTGGAAAGATTAGCAGCTCCAAAAGTGGAAGGAGCACCAAAGGAGGGAGGGTGGGTGGAACCGAAAGGACTGCAGTGTGGGGCTGATCTTTCAGGGAGGGATCTGAACACGGGGCCAGATGTCATGCCCCTGGCTTTGAAAGCGCCTGGGAAATTAGGAGGAGTAAACAGGAGGATGGAGGGATGAGGAGGAAGGAGGGATGGGGTTTACAGTTTGAAGTATTCCAGCAAAGAGAAAATGCACCAAAGCAGAGAGAGGAGGGGTGAGAGGAGTTAAATATCTGCTGGTTAATAATACACACTAGTCTCTAATACTAAAACTTCAACAGGTCACTAATGCTCACGCAC